TCTCATTCCTATCAAAAGTTATTCAAAAAATGCCCACGGGTCTTGTATTTTGGGATGGATAGTACTCCATGCGCGGTATAACGGGTTAATATGATGCACTCAGTTTTTCAAAACCGTTTAAAACCGCGGTTTATACGGTTAAGAACCTTGGGAACTGCAGATTAAGACGGTTTATAACCATTCAAAACGTCAGTTTAAAGGTTTCAAACCGTAAAAACCCGCGGTTAGACCGGTTAAATCTCGGTTTAAACCGCTGAAACAGTTAAAACCGCCTGGTTTGACGGTTATTTATTCATGCCTGAGGTTTATTGCCTAAAAAACTAACGTGTTTATTTGATCGTTCGAAGTTAAGAATTTTTTAATCGCTACTGAAACATTTCATTTGTCTTACTGATCTCTTTTATACTTATTTAGGACAAATCTTGGAGCAAATATCAATGTTTCTGAATTAACATGGGAACAAAAGGAACAAGTGTTAAGGGAACTATTTATAAGAATGAATACTAGTCAAAAAGCGAAATTAGAAGAAAATTTAAGTGAATCAAATTCAAATGGGTAATTCTTTTTTGCGATTTTCGTAAAACAAATGTAAAACCTATTTTTCTCGTTTATTCAGAGAACATATTCCCAATGATGGAAGAACAGTATTTATAACACAAAGAGATGATGGTAAAACTCAATCAGATTCGACAAGTAATTATAGCAGTGTACCAAAATTTCCACCGATATCCTCAGCACTCGTTCCAGAACAATCGGTGTCTTGAAGAGAATTTTGACTTAAGTCTTTCTTTTTAATCTCAATCAAGTGATAATTTTTAACGAGCTTGCCTTTATATGTACAAATTTTTGTATGCACTGTTGTTTTTTTCTATAATATTTTTTTATATATTTACAAATTTTTGCACGTCTATATTGTTTTGCTGATAACTCAACTAAATATCAAAATAAAATCTTCAGTGGAACAACATTTTTTGAATATATAGAGAAAAAAAGTCATGTTAACTTATTGAGAATATCGAGCAAAATGCTTCGTAATTATTTAACAGAATGCGATTTCTTTTAATTACAAAATAAACTAATTTTAGTAGGACATAATTTATCTAACTTTTTGAAAACAAATATTTTGCGTGTTCAGAAGAAAAGTCATTTCGAATTCAAGTACTCAATTCTGTAAGAATGAAAGGTTTGTATAGAAACTACATAAGACATTGAGAGGTGATATGCTTTGAGTAGTGATACCATTTTTACATTAACATTTTATTCGAAATATAAATATTGTTCTACCAATGTCATTAATGTTGTTACTCTTAGCAATTTCCCTGCCAATGTCTCTTTGCCGTCCGGAATTTATCCAATAACACATTGATCACATTCATCTGATATATCACCTTTTTTTTCTGTTGTAGATAAAATTTATTAGAATTTAACATATTCGTTACGAATAAAAGGAAAAACTAATATTTTCTACAACAAACGGCTGTTTAGATTTTTATAGGAACAGAAAACTATGTACAGTTCAAATAAATCAGACAAGTTAATAATAAAGGTTTAAACGATAGAATAAATAAGAGATTCTCTCTTTAGATGTAAAAGTCTGATAGATAAATGAAACAAGAAAAAAATAGATGCACCAACGGGTATAGAGTGAACTAAAAAAGAAAAAAATCATTCAGATTGATCGTTTTCTTGAGATTAATAGTTAAGACAACAGATCTGATGTTGATCTAAACATATTCATTTGGGATCTAATGTGGTATAAACATATCATTTGCGATCTAACGTTGGTTTAAACAAATCATTTGGCATCATGTTTGATTTTTCATCAATATCTTTATGATCACCATTTTCTAAACCACTGACCGTTTTATTATTCGTCGCAGAAACCTTAGATTCTACTGATTGTTGATTATTATTCTTTGTATAGCAAGTATTATTCATTCCATCCATCAATGCAACGGATAGTTTTACTTTCATTTCATCCGATAATTTTGGTAAAAATCCACGTGGAATTAAAAATGATGAGACATTAAACAGATCAATAAATACCTTATAACGATCACTAAACAAAGAAAAATCAATGATAGAAAGTGATAACATCTGGATATTCAGACTCATGTTGTCATTTAACGGGTAGGGTAGAAGAAACTGAT